TGTTCCTGATTTACAGCATCCGCAGTTCTTTTGGTTTGACTAAGTGCTGAGGCCTGTAGAAACTGTCAGCCTCCACTCATAAAAACATCCGTCAATCATTGTTCCATGCTTTTAAGTCAACTTTGGATCAAATTTGCCACTCTGCCTTGAATTCCAAGTTTTAGCAAGGCCTCCCTATTTTAATTTCATTCCATTTGAAGTAAAGCTCAAAATTCCATTTACATTCACAATTACCTGCTAAGCTTGATTGCTAGCTTTTGAGATTTAGACACAGGTGCTCCCAAATCCCTCTGCTGTAGTTTTCTGCAGTCTTTTACCATTTAAAATAGATATGCTAATATGTTAAACCTAACTGACAGTTTAATCCTCTTGAATATATTACACCTTGTTCTATTCCAAGAGAAAATCCATGGTGATGTGAACAGGCAGACTGTTCCATAACAGTTGGTTCAATATTGCCATTTTACACATCAAAACTTCCACAATGGACAAAGCAGGTTCCTTTTAACTTAGCATCTAAATTAGTTTAAGTAACTAATAAAATATGACAAAGGTGACTTAACTAGTCATTGAGTGACATTTCTGGCACACAGTAAACACTGCAGAGTTAAAGACATTTTTTTAAAATTAATGGCTATACTGGTATAGTGTCATATATTGGCATAATACATAGATAGGCAAACTGCAGGATCATATCAATTAGCCTACATGTGTTGACTCCTGATGTTGAAGAGCTGATAAAGGGAAGAGTAGACCAGGTCCTTCCCTGTGTTGAAAGTAATAATGAAGCTTCCAGGCTACTATCCTGTTGAATGGTTGCTGAACAAAATAAAGCATTGTATATTCACAGGTTTTTGCCTTTCTCAGCAACCATCCAACACCTTGGGATATTGGAGTCATAACAAAGAAAAACAATACAATTTTTAAGGGGTGGAGGTGTTCAAAAATGCAAACAATTTTGCAGTAATGTTGTAATTTCCCAGTTAATATCTTAATCTCAGAACGATGTTATTCTTATTTCTTCCAGATCTAGCAACTGTTAATTCTACAAAAACTGATCCTCCATTTTGCTTTCGGCATTTGAAAAAAATGTTACTACTTGCTACTGTAATCGTTCTTCTTCTGATCAGCTTTGTACTTGCTGCGTTTGCTATCTTCTTTATTGGTGAGTATTACAAATTTTGGATTCACTGCAGATCTCTTCTCAAGTTCATTGGTGTCGGTTGCTCGATTAAGCTGCTTCAAGCTCCATAACTATGAATAAGAAGGTACTTTCTTAACTGGGCCACCAGCCTGACACTATGATGAATCATTCATGTCACCCATCCTGTTCAGCTGAGATGCCCTGTCATGGGACCATGGTTTAGGTCACTAAATGAGCTGAATTGCCAATTTCATGGACCTTGGGGAAAAGGTGATGCTTGGAAGGCGGCTGGCTCTTCTTCCTCACTAGTGTCAGAGTGTTATTGCTGCATTCCTGCTGCCTTAAAATGTCTTCCACAATCTCACCTGCGTCAGAGCTAGAAATAGTATTTGTGATTCTGACTGCTCTCTCTCAAGGCAAACAGAGCAGCTGGCTCATGAAGTAATATGTAATTTCTCTGTTTAAAATTTAAAATAGATTTGATTAAATAAAATGAGGTATTGGGGCAGCACAGTGGCTCAGTGGTTAGCACTGTTGCCTCTCTGCACCAGGAACCTAGGTTTGATTCCAGCCTCAGATGACTGTCTGTGTGGAGTTTGCATTTTCACCCTGTGTCTATGTGGGTTTCCTCCAGATGCTCTGGTTTTTTCCATAGTCCAAAGATGTGAAGGACAGTGGATGAACTGTGGTAAATGCAGGATTACAGGGATAGGGTGAGGGGAGTGAATCAGGGTGGGATGCTCTTTGGAAGGTCGATGTAGAGTTGATGGGCCAAATTGCCTCTTTCTACAACGGTAGGGATTCTATGGTTCTATTCTGTGATTCTGATGGAAACTCCTTCTAGGAACCTATCTACCTGGCAGTAGAAACAGATTACTGATCTATCTGTGCTGCATCAACTGTCATTTTGACACTTCCTTGAGTGAACATTTTGATGGACATGTATTATATTAATAACTAACTATGACTTTCTGCAAGTTTACTTGGTGTTTATATGAGAATCATGCCCTTCACTCCAATTTATCTTCTTTCAACTCTGCTTCTTACCTGAGCAATCTGTTTAACTTAGTCTTTGGCCCAGCACATGCATAATCAATTCATTTTAATCCACTTCAGACTGAATTTGAAACAAAAACAAAAAGGTGCTACAGAAACTCAATAGGTCTGGCAGCATTTGTGGAGAGAGAAACAAAGTTAGCATTTCGGGTTGAATGGGTACAACATTCAGTCCACCAAGTCTCTGCTGGTTCTTTTGAGGATAAATCCAATTATTCCCAGTCCATGTTCTTGCCCATATCTCTGCATTTTTCTTTAGATTTATTTAATTCCCTTTGGAAGGCTGCTACTGAAACCACAGCCACTACTTCTATCAGCCAGTGCATTTCAACTACACAACTGTAATTTTGTTATAATAAAGCAGTGCTGTCTGCTGATTTCTTGTGTATCTCTGATTAACTGTGGGGCAGAAAGGCTAGCAAGTGGTCTTTGTATGTAGAGATCAATTGAGACCCTGAAGTGACCACTAAAGGGCTTATTTGAGTCTTGCTGATATTCAACTTTCCATTGGGACAGCCGTGCAACAAATCTTGTTGGGTTTGTCTGTGGCCTTCTGTGATGCTGTAGTATGGAATGCTCTTTCTCAATCTCCGCCCCTGCCTGAGACATGGTGATCCTCAGATTAAATCACCACCAGCCATCTCTCTCTGATGAGCTGAGCAAATCAATGCTGACTCTGTTAAGAGTCATTAGACTTGAAACATTAACTGTGTTTCTTTCTCCACAGATGCTGTCAGACCTGCTGTGTTTCTCCAGCATTCTTTGTTGTCATTTGAGCTTGCGGACTTTTTGTTACAAAAATCGAGACCATCTGATCAGCCCCCTTATCTGTTTCACTTCTGTTCTGTAACTCGCTGAGACTGATTAAATCTAAGGTTCTCCAAGTCCTGACCCTGGATTCACACATTTCAGCAGTTTTTCCTCCAATCTCACTTCATGCGCTCCCTGTGCCCACTTTGCTGATTAGATTCACCTTTTGATTCCTAGGCCCTATTCTTACTAGACTGCTGACCATACAATTTCCCTTCCTGATTCCTATGTTAGCTAATATTATTAATGGTTTTCTCTCCTCAGGTACTATTTCCATCTCCTTCAAATCTGCTCTCATCAAAAAACTAACCCTTGACCTCTGCATCATGCAAACTACCTGCCCAACACTAAAATACCATTCCTTGCCAAAGTTGTTGCCTCCCAAACCCAGGCTGTCTTTCTTGGAATGTCATGTCTGAATCCATCCAGTTCAAAGTAACAAAATGGCCATTACCAAAGTGACAAATGGCATCCTATGTTGATATTTTCTACTCAACCTGTTCAGAGATGTCATTACATACGTCCAGAACATATGTCCAGAAAAGGTGGGTTTGAACACACGCCTCCTGACTCAGACTTAGGGACATGACCACTGCAAGCTATTCTTCTTCCTCATCTTATCTGCAGCCTTTGGCACAGTTATGATAGAATGATAGAATTGCCACAGTGTGGACACAGGCCCTTCAGCCCAACAAATCCACACCAACCCTCAGAGCATCCCACCCAGACACATCCCCGTATAACCCACCTAATCACTGAACTCAGTTCTAAGGAAGGGTCACCGGATCCAAAACGTTAACTCTGATTATTTTCTTCACAGATGCTGCCAGACCTGCTGAGCTTTTCCAGCAATTTCTGTTTTTGTTCCTGATTTACAGCATCCACAGTTCTTTCGGTTTTTATTGGAATGAGGCTCATTTCAGAGCTGGACACTTAAATTTGATCTCCCTAATTTTAGTTTGGAATGTCAATTGCCCCTAAATCTAACTTTGTTATAATGTATGTTATTCCAAACTGTAACCTCACTTCAAGTAAGAATTATGTACAGTAATGCATTCATTTTGTGGAACTGACTGAATTTTGTGTAGTTAAAGCAATGTAAAATTGATACATAGTTGGGAAAAAACTTAATAACAAAAATATTCTTGTTTATCCAGTGAGAATGGAGAACCAGCTTAATTACATTTCAACAAGAGTGACTGCAGAAGACAGAAATATTAAAGAAATCAAGATACTCATGTTGAACCATTTCAATTTTTCAAAAGGGTTAAATGACAGTAATGTAGCTGGAATATCTCCCATCTCTAATACTCAAAGCCCATGATGAGAAGAACATAATCAAAAGGTATCAAAGACGTGTAAGTTTGCAAGTTTCAAAGACTCCAGTGAAAACTAAAACATCAAACAAGATGCCTCAGTTTACATAACCTTCTTCAAACTATGCCTGTTTGAATTGTCAATTGTGGTGCTGGAAGAATGCCTAAGTCCAGCAACAGTCACATGGATTCCTTCAAGAAACATTTGAGAATAACAAACCCTTCACAGTGAATGCAATTATAAATGTGATCCATTGCAAATGTTCCAACTAATTAAACGGAATCAGCCATTGACTATCTTCAGTCACCTGACCCAGCAGAATAAACTGATTTTAATTACAGAACAAGAATCTGCAAAAGAAATTAAGTCACAATGTTGCATGGCTGTCAATTCCTTTTTACAGGAGTCTGTTAAATTCTAAACATTTCTCATTTACTTCCCAATTGCTCAGATAATCGTGATGTACACTTTATTGATTTGAACCTGTACAATCATTTACATTACTTAAGTTGAAGTATTTTTGCCTTTCTTTTGGGATTGGTACTGTGCAATTAAATGCTGCCTATATAGTATAATGGAAAGTGTCTCCATTATTTTGTTATGTTGCATGGTTCTTGGTGTTTTTGCATTGTCCATATAAAATTGATAAATCTGTCATTATGCAAGTATTCAAATTATTAATGAACTTTGGTATTAAAGTGTACAATATAGAACTAAAGAGCACTGCAAGCACTACCAACCTGTTTAATTTGTTTCAAAAACAAGTGTCTTCAAATTCTGGTTAAGAACTTGTAATTAATATGCTAATTAAATTCTATTCTGTGTGACAACGTCCACTAGAATTTTTACTTTACTAATCTGCATGAAGTAAGATAATCTTCAAAGACTGATTTCAAGAATGTGCTATGGCATATTCGGTGGGTTAAGCTCATTGTGGAGAACGTTTAATGATGTAGTGATTGTAAAGCCACACAATCATGCTTCAGCATGTTGGTACCCAGTAGAATTCTGTTTGAATCTCTTCAGCACTAATCTTGGCCTGGCCAAAGATGCAAACTACATTTGCTGTTGACGGTGTCCATATGCATGTTCTTCTGATCTCAAACACTGAGAATGTTCAAGATGGTAAATCATGTTTTTATTGTCTCTCTAACATTGCTTAGTTTCACATTCCTGACCTTGCATGGAACCTTGCTATCTGTCAGAATGCATCCAGTTAATGTCTAGCAATGGTTTCTCTTCCTGCTCCTGCATTGTATTTCTTGACTCCTCCAGTAATTTAATTATAGTCCATTCCTTTTTCTTGAGTATATGTTGCTGCTCAGGCATTTCTGGCCAGTGGGAGTATTGGGGAACCAGATGAATCTACATTTTTGTGTGACACCACCAACAATTAAATTTTGAAAATGAATATTGCGTATTTGCATAAATAAAAATGCTGCTTTTACAGTGCAGATTTATTTTAGATGAAAAAGGAAAATGTCATGATACTGATTGAACATTTCCTTTATTCTACACTGTTTGCAGGTTAAGTGCTAGAACAAATTTGCCTGATAGTGTGTAATAAGACTTGCATGATGTAATAGTATGTATTCCTGGAGCAGTTACTTAATGATTTTATGTGCAATAATCTTTACGGTAGACTGGGCTAGATAAAATTTAATTCTTCGATTCATTCACTGGTTCACAATTTGGAATGGGAGCGTAGATGTACAGATTTCTAAAACTTCAGCATTAACAGAGTGAGGAACATAGGATGAAATTTTAGGAAAGCATGCATTACAAATACGTGGAACTGGATATGTATGTCTGTACAGCTAGACCTTTCGTTTCCACTATTGCTGCCTATTTATTTATTTACATAGTTTAATGAATGGCTCATTCAGATTTTGCTGCCCCAAATTCTGCTGCTCAAGGTGACTGCCCAGCTTGCTGAATGGTGGAGCTGTCTCAAAGGGCAGACACAATTTAGAAGCTGTTGTAAGTTAATGTTCAGAAAGTTAATACAAGAACACAAGAACACAAGAACTAGGAGCAGGAGTAGGCCGTCTGGCCCTTTGAGCCTGCTCCGCCATTCAATAAGATCATGGCTGATCCTTTCGTGGACTCAGATCCACTTACCTGCGTTCTCACCGTATCCCTTAATTCCTTTATTGTTCAAAAAAAACTACCTTTTTTTTAAAAGCGTTTACTGAAGTAGCATCAACTACTTCACTGGGCAAGGAATTCCATAGATTAACAACCCTCTGGGTGAAGAAATTCCTTCTCAGTTCAGTCCTAAATCTGCTCCCTCTAATCTTGAGGCTATGCCCTCTTGTCCTAGCTTCACCTGCCAGTGGAAACATCCTCTCTACTTCTATCTTATCTATTCCCTTCATAATTTTATATGTTTCTATAAGATCCCCCCTCAATCTTCTGAATTCCAATGAATATAATCCCAATCTACTCAGTCTCTCCTCATAAGCCAACCCCCTCAACTCCGGAATCAACCTAATGAACCTCCTTTGCACCCCCTCCAGTGCCAGTACATCCTTTCTCAAGTAAGGAGACCAAAACTGCACACAGTACTCTAGGTGTGGCCTCACCAGCACCTTGTACAGCTGCAACATAACCTCTCTGCTTTTTATTTCAATCCCTTTAGCAATGAAGGACAAAATTCCATTTGCCTTCCTAATTACTTGTTGTACCTGCAGACCTACCTTCTGTGATTCATGCACAAGGGCACCCAGGTCCCTCTGCATAGCAGCATGCTGCAACTTTTTACCATTCAAGTAATAATCCTTTTTACTATTACTCCTACCAAAATGTATGACTTTATATTTATTTACATTGTATTCCATCTGCCAGACCTTTGCCCACTCACTCAATGTATCTATGTTCCTCTGCAAAGTTTCACAGTCCTCTGCACACTTTGTTTTGTCACTCATCTTAGTGTCATCTGCAAACTTTGACACCCTACACGTGGTCCCCAGCTCCAAGTCATCTATATAAATTGCAAATAATTGCGGTCCCAACACCGATCCCTGAGGCACACCACTAGTCACTGACTGCCAGCTAGAATAGCACTCATTTATCTCCACTCTTTGCTTCCTGTTAGTCAACCAATCCTCTATCCAGGCTAATACTTTACCCTTAATGCCATGCATCCTTATCTTATGCAGTAGCCTCTTGTGCGGCACCTTGTCAAAGGCCTTTTGGAAGTCTAGGTACACCACATCCACTGGGTCCCCATTGTCCACCTCGCTCGTAATGTCTTCATAGAATTCCAAAAGATTTGTCAAGCATGACCTACCCTTCATGAACCCATGCTGCGTCTGCCCAACGGGACAATTTCTATCAAGATGCCTTGCTATTTCTTCCTTGATAATAGACTCAAGCATCTTCCCCACTACAGAGGTTAAGCTAACTGGTCTATAATTCCCCATCTTTTGTCTATTTTCCTTTTTAAACAGTGGCGTCACATTTGCTGTTTTCCAATCTGCTGGGACTGCCCCAGAGTCCAGCGAATTTTGGAAAATTACCGCCAGTGCACCTGCTATTTCTCCCGCCATCCCTTTTAGTACCCTGGGATGCATTCCATCAGGGCCAGGAGACTTATCAATCCTTAGCTCCATTAGCTTGCCCAACACTACCTCTTCCGTAATTATGATTGTTTCCAGGTCCTCACCTACCTTCGTCTCTTTGTCTATTACTAGCATGTTATTAGTGTCCTCCACTGTGAAGACCGATACAAAAGACCTGTTCAATGCCTCGGCCATTTCATCATATCCCATAACTAAATTCCCCTTCTCGTGCTCTAAAGGGCCAACGTTTACTTTAGCCACTCTTTTTCGTTTTATATATTTATAGAAACTTTTCCTATCTGTCTTTATATTCTGTGCTAGTTTTTTCTCATGTTCTATCTTACTTTTCCTTATAGCTCTTTTTGTGGCTTTCTGTTGACCTTTAAAGTTTTCCCAATCTTCTAGTTTCATGCTGTTTTTGGCCACTTTGTATGCCTTCTCTTTCAATTTGATAGCCTCCCTTATTTCTTTAGACACCCATGGCAGATTACCCCTTTTCTTACAGTCCTTCCTTTTCATTGAAATGTACTTTTGCCGAGCACTTTGAAAGATTGCTTTGAAAGTCCTCCACTGCTCGTTAACTGTCCCACCATAAAATCTTTGTATCCAGTTTACTTTAGCCCCTCATTCTATTGTAGTTCCCCTTGTTCAAGCACAGGACCCTTGTATTGGATTTTATCTTCACACTCTCCATCTGTATTCTAAATTCAACCATACTGTGATCACTCCTTCCAAGAGGATCCCTAACTATGAGGTCATTAATTATTCCTGTCTCATTACACAGGACCAGGTCTAGGATAGCTTGTTCCCGCGTCAGTTCCATTACATACTGTTCAAGAAAACTATCACGGATACACTCAATGAACTCCTCCTCAAGGCTACCCTGACCGAGCTGGTTCGACCAATCTACATGTAGGTTAAAATCCCCCATGATAATTGCCATACCATTTTTACAGACATTAGTTATTTCTTTGTTTATTGCCCGCCCCAATGTGATGTTATTATTTGGTGGCCTATAGACTACGCCTATAGAATTTCTAATTTTTCCTCTTAGAATTTCTAATTTCCACCCAAATGGATTCAACCTCATTCTCCATAGAACCTATATCATCTCTCAGCAACGCCCTGATGGCGTCCTTGAATATCAGGGCTACACCACCTCCTTTACCTTCCTGTCTGTCCTTCCGAATAGTCTGGTACCCTTGGATATTTAACTCCCAGTCGTGACCATCCTGTAACCATGTCTCCGTAATGGCTACCAAATCATATTCATTCGCGATGCTTTGTGCCGTTAACTCATCAACCTTGTTACGAATGCTACGAGCATTCAGGTAAAGTGCCTTTATGCTAGCTTTCTTACCCTCATGATTTCCAACATCTCTAATAATATCTCCTGAGTTCATTATGTTCATTAATGTTCATTATTTTACAACTGAATGGCTTGTTAAACCATTAAGACTTGACCACATATTATGTGACAAGCTCTCAGACATTATGAGTTAATTTCTCACGATTTTGTTATGAAATCAATACAAATATTGAAGAGGTATGTAGCTGTAACAATTAGTGCACCTGGAAAGATCTTGTGATTAATTTGCATAAATGGATTAAAAATGACAGGTCAATATTTAAAGCGATGGATATAATTGGTGAATTTTAATTAGTTGAGACAAGAACTAAAGGCAATGTAATTAAAAATTAATAATCTGAAAACTGCATTATTAAAAGGTACAAGAACTAATTGGTTAGACAATTTAAATTAAGCAAACGTAAAAGCTAAACGCAGTTCCTATGGCAATATAATCTCAATCAATAATACATAAACTAAATTAAGTGTGGTTAGCCTCTGGCAACCTCTTCCTAGATAGAAGCTTTAATAATAAATGATTAATTAGTAAGCATCAGTTGATCAAATATTTTTCTCCAGACTTGATTTGGTCTGTGTCAATGATTAAACCCGATTTTAGAGAGAAGGCCTGAGCTTTCATGGAGCCATCCATAACCTCAGGATATCCTAAAGCACATTGCAACTACTTTTGAGACATAATTACTGTTGTAGTGGAGTCATAAGATCCAATTTGTGCAGAAACACAAGTCACATAAACATACAGCAATGAAATAATTACTAGATTATCCATTTTAGGTTGCTTGGAGTCCAGGACTGCAATGGAACCTCTTAGTCTTCAAGTAGTGCTGGAGGATCTTTTATGTTCATTTGAGGGGGCAGGTAGTCTCAGTTTAACATTTTATCCAACAGCCCTTTG